AGTTTTTGTCATGTCACTTTATTCAATTATTTGTGATGATCTGCAGGTGTCCCTATACTTTTGTCCAGGTAGTGTATGAGTATTAGAAATTTTGAAAAAATTAAAAATTTTTTGCATATTTCTGATATAGAAGAGAATCATCCATTTTGGTATTCAAAAGTTGAACCATTAGCATCCCACATAAATAGGATATCACAATCAATTTATGTACCATCATCTAATATTTCTATAGATGAAATGATTATAAGGTTTTGTGGCAGAAGTGCACATACTTTCAGAATAAAAATAAGCCAACACCAGAAGGGTATAAGGTTTTAGCTTTATGTGATGCAGGTTATACTTTTTCTTTCATCTTTACCTCTAGAATTGAAAAAGATAATGAAGTTGAACAAATTAAGAATCTTAATAAAATAGGAAGTCAAGTTTATCATTTAGCTTCCAAATTACCTTCCAATAAAGCATTCAATATTTATATGGATAATTACTTCTCTAGCATCACATTATTCAAATTTTTACTTAGTAAAGGAATTGGTGCTTGTGGAACTGTTCATACTAATTCTTCAAGATTTCCACCAGCTCTTAAAATAGGAAAGAAGAAATTAGATTGGGATACCCTCTCTGGTGTTGTTGTAGATAATGATGTATTGGCAGTATTATGGATTGATAATGGTCCTGTCACAATGTTATCCACAATACATAATATAGTTGGTTTTGAAAATAGAATATATAAACTTCGGCGCTATCCTCGTAAGACTAGTAGTAATGCAGTTAAAGTAAAAAAAGTATTTGGTAGTAAAACAAAAAAATTATTACCAATCCCAAAGATAATTGATGATTACAATCATCATATGGGAGGTGTTGATATTGCAGATCAACTAAGAAGTTATTATTCCACTCAGTAAAAAGTTCAAAGAACCTGGGTGCCAATATTTTTCTGGTTATTGGATACTGCTATCATAAATTCTTATTTAATATACAAAAAAAAATATAATAATCAGATTATGCATAAAGATTTCAGAATGAGTATTGTATGGGATTTAATAAAAGAAGGATTAGATAGGAATACTGGTCAAAGAGAAACTCGTTATCAATCATCTTTTTCATCATCTTCTCACACAAGACAAGCTTACACTACTTCTAAATCAACTCTTCCATTGGAAAGATTAATTCAAGGAGATCATTTGCCTGAGTATAGAGAAAATAGGACTAAATGCGAGTATTGTAAATATATGACACAAGAAGAAGAAGGAAAGTCTACAAATAATGAAAGTCGTTCATTTATATTTTGTACTTTATGTAATGTTGCTTTATGTTTAAACTCGAAAAGAAATTGTTTTGTAAAATATCATTGTAGTGATTAAAAAATAAATTTAATTTTTATAAATTTTACACAAAAATAAAAAATATGTACATGATTTTCAACACATATTAAAATGAAAACCTGTATTGTAAACCGGATGGTTCGATTTTTGTAAATTAATTAATTATCTATGGTAAGAGCAAGTAAGTATAACTAATTTTCCAAATTAATTTATAAAAGTTATAATGAATGATTGTCAATACTTTGTTATTCCATTTATTCATTAACTATAAAAGGGGGGGTTTTTTTTAAAGTAAACTTGTTTATTAGAAATAGTATTTTTACATAGTTTACGGTTTAGACCAAATAATCAACGAGTAAAAACTTTTTTCTAATCATAACTATTAAAAAAATTAAAAATCGGGATTTTTTTTACAATACACCTTTTTTTCATACCAATTAAACTCTCCCCCAAAATATCAATCAAATAAAATGGTTTATATGTATAAATTATACCTTTTTGTCTATTTAGAAATCAAAAAAAAAAAATGGGGAACAAATGATAACTTTTTGTTTAGATGGGGTCTACAAAAATTTGAAATTTTAGACCAAATATGGTCTAAATTTCTGTTCATTTAAGGGATAAGTTTTGAAGTAAAATCCCATTTTATGCAGCCATTGGCGTGCAGTTTCATGGCTAATGAATGAAATATTGAATAAATAAATATTGATTGCAGTTCAAATTAATTTATATATATTTAATGAGAATTCACCTTATGTTTGTTTCTTTTTCAACCCCAACACATGGAAAAATAACAGATGAAAGGTGATTAATAAAATCATTAATATTAAATTTAAATTTTTTTTCATTTAAAAATTTGATTATTCTTAATTTAATGTCTTCATCATCTAGTAAACTTGATGTTTTTCTATGCAAACCACGATTGGAAAATGGAATAGAATCTCCTTCTTTAACAATTTGTGCCCATTCTCGAATACAGCGAGCAAAGTATTTACCTCTATCTAATTGATTTGCAATAGATATACTTGATTCTAACTTTTTTTTACCTAATTTAATTAATTTTAAATATTGAAGCACAGCTGTAAGTCGTAATTTATATCCATTACTAAAATCATTATTTTTAAGCTGCTTCTCTAAGTCACTAATTGCAACTTCTGTCATTTCTTTATCATTATTTTCAATGAGTTCCTCAGAACTTTCATTTCCACTACTAACATCTGCTTCACTTTTTTCAAAAAATGCAGTTATTAATTGACCATTTTTTTCAGCATTTTTCTTAGCCTCACTTTGTTTCCGGCGATAAGTTCTGGAAGAATTACCTATATAACGCAAAGATCTTGATGATGAAGTGTAATTTTTCATGGATTCATTAAGGATATCAATATATTTTACAGAATTTTCGTCTAATTCTCTATCTATTCCTCCTTCAAACCAACTTTCTTCAGACTCTTCATGTGAAAACTGTCCTAAATTAGTTTCCAATTGATTTTCATTACCAAATGAGCTATTATTTTTTTTGTCTAAAGCAAGTTTATTTAAATGTGCTTTTTGCTTTTTAAGTTTAGGCATGATTAATTGATAAATTTCAAAAAAGATTTAATTGACGATCCGTCTATGAATCAGTGAGTGTTATATAGTGATCGGCGGGGGAAAATTGACCAAAAAAACACTAATCGGTAACCTTTTATAAAAAAAAGTT